GCTGAGCGGGCTCCATGTTTGCCGTGGTATGTTGTCTGCACAGGTAACCCAGGTAAAAAGGCGCGAATCTATTGTCTGTCGTTGCTCTGACGGAGGGGGAGGGGCCTGACGACATGTACTCAGAACCTCCCGCGACACTGTTTTGCATCATCCGGGCATTGGGATCTCAACCCAGAATTCCAATGGGCAGCGGAGACTGCGGGAACTGTGGGATAGCTACCCATAGTGCAATGCTCCGGAAGTCGACGCTAGCCTCGGTACTGTGGACGCGGTCCGCCGACTAGAGCACTTAGAGCATTTTAGGTGGGGACACACACAATCGGATGTATACAACCGATTTCTATAAAACCGGCTTTTATTAATTCGACCTAATTTCGTAGTGTAGACATACCCTTAGATGGAGCTACGTAAGTGTGACACAACCATTGGTGCCAGCTAGCAAAGGCTTCACTGCTCTGTATCAGCAACTCTTAACAGGCCTCACAAACTCACTATGCAGAACACCTGTTTTTCATAGTATTTATCCATAAATAGCGTCTTGTAAGGTATCAAATGAAAACTGGGATCACACAGGTCATTAATATTATTGTGAAATGTATGTACTGGTGATTATATGACTTACTAGAATTATGTTTTAAAGTCTGTAAACAGGGACAATTGAAAAGGTTTCTTCCAGAAAGGAAATAAGAGGTGGATCTCTCTGTGAAATGTAAATTAAGCATTGTAAGCCATTATGGCATAAACAGGATGGGAAAACAGCAGAGACTAAACCTCAGGGAGTTGTCGTCTCGGGCGTACAGAGACAATGAACTTTTGGGTAAAGAAGGCAAAAGGACACCTTGTTTATTCTTCACTTGAGGTGATAATCAGGTAGTACAGTAACATCCATGAAAACAGGATTTAAACCATCCTGGGTTGAAATGCTTCATAAAAGACTTAGCCCTGGTCTACACTACAGGGTTAGGTCAAATTTAGCCACGTTACGTCAATTTTATAATGAAAGCGTCTACACAAGCAACCTGTTCTGTCAATCTAAAGGGCTCTTAAGATCGATTTCTGTACTCCTCCCCGGTGAAGGGAGTAGCGCTAAAATCCACCTTGCTGGGTCGACGCAAATTGACAGTATTGGCCTCCGGGAGCTATCCCACAGTGCTCCAATGTGACTGCTCTGGACAGCACTTTCAACTCCGATGCACTAGCCAGGAACACAGGAAAAGCCCCAGGAACTTTTTAATTTCATTTCCTGTTTGGTCAGCGTGGCGAGCTCAGCAGCATAGGTGACCATGCAGTCCCCCCAGAATCATAAACGAGCTCCAGCATGGAGCGAACGGGAGACACTGGATCCGATTGCTGTATGGGGAGAAGAATCTGTGCAGGCAGAACTCCAATCAAAAAGAAGATATAAATGCTAATATATATATATATAAAATCGCACAGGGCATGATGGACAGAGGCTACAACAGGGACACACAGCAGTGCTGCGTGAAAGTCAAGCTCAGGCAAGCCTATCAAGACAAAGGAGGCAAACGGTTGCTCTGGGTCAGAGCCCCATACATGCCGCTTCTATGATCAGCTGCATGGCATTCTGGGGGGGACCCTACTACTACCCCATTACTGTCCGTGGATACCTGCAAGGGGGAGTCTCACGCAACTCAGAGGAGGATTTTGTGGATGAGGAAGAGGAGGAGAATGGGGCCACTTCTTCAGCTGCACTGCACACAGAACTCTCACTGAAATCAAAAGCTACATACTTTACCACCAATGAGTTCATTATGCAAAATCGTTATAGAATAATCACTTTAATGTATTGCAATCAAGTGTCTAGAGCTTAGGTGCTTTTGTTACCATAGAATCTGAGCGCCTCACAATCTTTAACATATTTATCCTCACTCACAACCCTCTGAGGTAGGGAAGTACTATTATCCCCATTTTCCCAAATGGGAAACTGAGACAGAGACTAAGGTCCAAATCTTCAAAGGTATTGTCCAAGGTCACACACCAAGCCTGTGGCAGAGCAGGAAAATGAACCCAGTCTTCAGTAACCTAAGATAGTACCCTAACCACTACACCATCCCTACAATACATTTTCTTACCTATCAACTTTAATCTAATGACAATTTTTTTTCCAACTGTTGGTGCAGCAAACTCACCATCAAGCTGTAATCTACCTTCTATGATACCATCAGAGATTCGGGAATCAGAAAGTAGTTTTGTCAATTCACAGGACTGAAGAGAACCATGTAGACCATTCCTCAACTTTTATTAGTTCTACAGTGATACCAGTCGTAGAATTTGATATTGATAGTATAGAGCAGATCTGTTGAGTAAGATAGCACATTTTTACATAGAAAAAGTGCTTAACTACCACCATTTTAAATTTGAGAAACTCCTTTCACAGAATTGAAAAAACACTATGAACAACATGCTCTCAGCCATTACTTTTATTATCCAGTGTTTTATACACTCCATTTATAATTCTTTCCAGACTGCTGCACCTAAAGGGCCATGGTTTCCCTTGATCTTTGCATGAAACTTCCTGATATCAGTGTGAGTACTGAGTGAGTAAACAGAGTAAAATAAGGCTCAAAATATGTGTAAACTCATTTCAGAAGACACACTCAACCCAACAGAAGCACCTGCATTTCCTCTGCCCCACATTTAATTGATGATAGAGTGGGAATAGTATACATTCCAATATTTATTGGAAAATATTGTTATTCTAGTTTTACATTAGTATCTCTTGTGCATCTTAATAAAACAATAAGAACCACCAGTAACTACACCTTGAAACCCTTCCACATTGAAGTCAGTGTACATTTTTCTTTTTATATAAAAAAAAGAAGTACTGCTCTGTTGATCATTTTCACAGATGCTTCTGACCCAGTTTAATGTATAAGGTTTTTTTTTCCCAAAAAGATGTTACTAACTTTTATCAAAATGGTCAGTTTTCAAAGCATTTAATATCCAAAACAAAATAGTAAAAGTGAGGATATCCCAGAAGTTTATTATTTTTAATAGTAGCAGTCATAAAATATGCTTATATAGAAATCCATGTTTATCTGAAAAACAAAGTGTAAATGGTATTTCACAAGTTTAATTTGCTTAAAGAGTTTTGGTGGTTGAAATCACCCTGATTATTATTTACTGACAATTTGCTATTGTAATAATGTTAAACAGGATCACATATTTTAGGATTAACTTTAAAATGTTACAACTTTTCATAAAAATAGTCAGCCAACTATTTTCTCTCTTTTCAACAAGAATAGTGAACATTATGGGCAACAAATTTCAAACAGACAACCTTTCCCTTGAAATTTAACAACTTTCAACCATTCAAGTACTATGGTCCCTATATACATTCCTATGCAGCTAAAAAGACATGGTAGACAACTGAGCACACTACCACCAAATTGTAAGAATTACAAAATTATTAGACTTTAATCAAGTTGTACCTTAATCTTTTAATTAAAAATAGAAGACTTAGATAGACTATTTAGCAAATAAAACAGCACGCTAGTGTGCTCTATATTAAGGCATACCTTTAAATGCACACTTTTCTTGTGATCTATAAGAAGTTATTTACAATTGCTACCGTGTGAAAGGAACAATAATGTAGTTGTTCTGCAAAACTGAGAAATACAAAATATCTGGAAGCCTACATTTTCAGAGTACAAAAGTAACCCTCAGTTCTTGTGTGTCCTACAGGATCTCTTGAGGATTTCTTAAAGCTGGGGGTAAATTTGAGGGTTTTGATTCTTCATCAAGAAGTACCAAATCTTCAATTTCACGTCCTTTGTACTTTCTTTTACATATCTTTACAATAACTTTCTTCTTTAGAAATAATTTCAAAGCTTCCCTTGAAGCTATAGCTTTGGCATTTTCCTTACTTTTTCCACAGCCAGTACCCAAATAAACAGACTTGCACCTCAGTTCACAAACTATATTTTCATGAGAGCTTTTATTTTGAGGTAAGTCTGCAAGTTCCTTCAGTGGAACAAAAGTTACATCTAACGTGGCTTTCACAGACTGAATGGATGAGTTTAGAAGTTCTGCATGATTGACATTGGGACTAAAACCTCCAACAGCAACCAACTTCCAGGCCACAGATTTGTACAGTCTATTGAAAAAAGGCTGTCTTTCTTTTGCATCTTCACTTGTTAATGGCTTCCATGACACTTTAGCGGGACTTTCAGTAGTCTGGGAGCTGCTTTTGGAAGCCACCGGTGGAGCGCCAGCCTGGGAGCTGCTTTTGGAAGCCACCAGTAGAGCGCTGGCCAGGGAGCTGCTTTTGGTAGCCGTCGCCGCCGGCGGAGCGCTGGCCAGGGAGCTGCTTTTGGTAGCCGTCGCCATAGTGCTGGCCTGGGAGCCGCTTTTGGTAGCCGTCAGCGGAGCGCTGGCCTGGGAGCCGCTTTTGGTAGCCGTCAGCGGAGCGCTGGCCTGGGAGCCGCTTTTGGTAG